ATTCATCTCAAACACTCAGTTATTCTAATTAAGAACTTTTCTCCAAACAAGACAATTCTCTATTATGTATGCTCTCCCCTCTAATTCTCTATTATGTATGCATCAAAGCCTATCAAATACTTACTGGTAGTATATACACACTCTGCATTAGAGAGGGAGGAGAATCGGCAAGAGAAGTGCCAACAGAGTAAATAAATCCCCCTTAATAAATACATTAACAATGGCCTAAGCATAGAAGTTTGCACTTCAGGGAAGTGCAAGGTGCTCACATGCTATCTTACAGCAATCTGTTTTATAATCAAAAAACTGCTTTTTCAATAATCCCTTTCTCAGACCCTTGTTTCGACCTGAATATACTCAAATCCTCAGAATCATTTCCTTCTGGAAAAGAAGTGATAAATCTACGTGGAAGCAAGAACAACCTTGTTCTGTTTTAAGAGCATTCACTCCTACATCATTCATTCTGTTAGTGCTCTCTCTCACCTAACATTTCACAGGCTCCTGATCAAACTGTGTAACTGGAGTCTACAACAGTAGCCTTTTTAGGTTTTACAGTTTTTCTGAGTGATGTTATCTTAATCAGATGCATAATAAAAACCAGAAATAGACCTATGCTACTCTGACCCACAGGATAATTTCTTATAATCAAATATAACCTTTGTTTTTGAACCATAGATCTGTCAAGCATCCCTCCAGAGGCTGACTGGGAAACGGTAGGATGGAAACAGTAGACAGATGTCCCTAATTAGGCTAGCCCAGTATTATTTTTAAAATGCTGTACATTCATTTGCCTGTGTCCAAGCTGAGTTAGTCCATCCAGCTACAAACCTCCCGTGCAACTCTTACACCACTATAACTACCTGTTGGCAAAAATTTTCACCAAGGAGAAAAACCCTAGATGTTTCTTTCAGAAGAATGTTACAAAGAACAGGTATTGTTTTGCTCAAGTGTATATTACAGCTATTTCACAGAGATGCTTTAGCACCTTCTCCCTCCCCTCAGTGCTCTGGTGATGAAACTGGGAGATCACCTTGTTCCTCTGAAAGACAAATCTGTCCTGATTGTAAGCCTTTGAAAATCTTTGCACAGGCTCGGGGGAAAATACTCAGACAGCTAAATTCTCTGAAGCATTTCACTATCCCCAACATGCTGTATTGCTTGGGATTGCAGGGTCTGAGCAAGAATTTCCCCTACAGCTGTGTCCCTGGCACCTGGAGCAGGGCGCAGCACTGGGCACTTCTGCTGGACGCAAGCAAACTGTCCCCTGCAACAGTACGGGGGATACGGTGGAGGGGAGAGCTTTGTACAGTAGGGCTGATGGCTGGGCTCGATGATCTCAAGGGTCTTTTCCAACCTGGCTGATTCTGTGATTTTGTGACCAGTTCTGCTGCTGGTCACCAAAAGAAAAAAGCAGGGGGGTCGTAACTAACAAAAAGCAGGCAGGAGAGCGGTGCTGTAAGGGGGCCAGTGGGCAGCTGAGAAACAGAGATCTGGTGTCCACCCACAGAGCTGAATTTTACTGGGACCTCTTCCCATATTTTCTCAGATTCTCAAGAACTAGCCCCAATCCAGGCTTTCACAGGCACAGCTGGAGGTTGGGGGTTTTTTTTTCCATTGTTTTTGAGTGTCAAGCAAGAGACAGCCGAGTCCCAATTCATAAAGTTGTCAAGCAGCGTAGACTACACTCAACAAACAGCAACTCGACTTGGCACAAATAACGTGCTACAAAAGCACTAGCTAGAATCACGTTGCAGTCATTTCACGTTGGGCTCTCCGAATTAGCACGATGCTTCTGTCAGGCCCAGCTCTGCAGCAGCTACCCCACCGCTACCGCAGCGGAGCCAACAACCCCATCACGCACCGCAGCGACACGCATCTCGGGACAAAAATCTGCAACTGTCACATTAAGAAAGGCTTGAGTAGTGTGCCATGCATAAAGCATACTCAAAACCCGAAGCTCTATGAGATCAGAGATCTACGGTGTAGATTTCAAACACAGAACTAGCTGAAGTTTGGTTAGAACTCAAAAGATGATTATTCAAAAAGATCCAGTTGAAACTTTATCCTTTCCCTAAATCCAGCCTCTTAACTTTAAAATTACTCGTTGTGAGTGTTTTACTTGCAGTAAGTATATGAACTTTCAAGGCCATTTTGTCAAGAGAATATTCTTTGAAAAAAAACACAACATTTGTTTCAAAAGTTTAGGCAAACATATCTTAAATATTTAAATTACATTTAAAATACTGTTCCAGAACATAAAGCCTATCTAAGTATATTCTTAGATACAGACTGTAGTAATGTGATGATTTTCTCACTATTTAAAGTTCTTGCATCATTTCCTTTTTTTTGTAATTAAGCAGAAACAACCCAGGTAATTTTAATTCTCATGCTTTCCCTTTCTCCACCACTCCCCCAAACACTCCCAAATTCCACCTCTGGTTAAAATTCAGTAAATTATTTCAGCCTAATCCCTGGTAATTGGGTTCATAAGTTATCTGGTTTAAAAAAAAATCACATTTGGGGGAGAACTTCACATATCTGTTTCAGCACATGATTACCTTAATTCTGCTTTGTACTTCCCATCCTTAAAAAAAAAAAAAAAAGTGTATTAAACAATTGTAGTAAAAATTGCGCTTTTTTTGCCATTTCTTAAAAAAGGAAGCACAATATCTTTTCTTTCCTCACAGTCCTAGTGACCCAATGCCTGCCTAGTTCATCTCTTTCAGCTACTAGTTGCAGGTACTGCCTTTCAGAGGTTACAACTGCTAATTCTATCCACAATTAAGAGATTATAAAAAGAGATGGATATTGATAAATATTATACATAATAAAATGCAATACAACCTTCTTCTGTTTTTCAATAGGTGAGCTACTGCATCCTGCAAGGAGTTACCGCAGCCCCAGAAATAGCCACATGGAAAATGAAGGCAACTCCTTTCAAACAAACAATCTGTATTTGCACGTTTGTTATCACGCAGATCTTGAGTTTGCATTTGCCACAGTGACAAAACAATCAATACAACCCAAATCCCACACTTTTTAAAAATACAATTTCCCATTGACTCCAACAATGGTAGCACTTAAAAAAGATCAGCAGATTCCAGCATTTACAAAGCCAAATTAAAAGGGAGCTTCTGAGCCTTACCTTAAGCAGTCTGCATAGACAGCAAACATCTGAACTTGATCCTAGTCTGTAATGCTTGTTGATAGCAAGAGAAAAGTTGGCTAATTTTAGCCAACTTTTCTCTTGTTATCGGGAAGTATTACAGTCTCGTATCAAATGCCAGAAGCTGTTCTTCCAGCCCTGCACCACTGAGAGAATTAAGAGAACTTCAGGAAACCAGCCCAAACTCTTTCCAGTAGTAGCTAATGAGTAGGCCGGTATCAAATCCGAAGAAGCCAACGAGTCATGACAACTTTAGCAGGGTTTGACGCGTGTTGTGTGAGCTACCCTCTACCGCAAGGCTTATCAGGAGGGTGATGGCTTCCAGGCATTGCTGTAATAAACCACCGTTGAAAACAGTGACTGGAAGACAGAATCCCACGTTAAGCTGTCCTCGGGCTTTCAGCTACAATCTGAGTATGAGGTTTAATAACTTATCCAGCATGTCAGATTACATATTGCTGTATCTCAGCATTCTCTGAATACTTATCAGTCCTGGTACAGATTTATTTTTAAGAGGAATGAGTATGTGTTCATTTATTAGATATAACGTGGCAACAAGTGATTTTTTTTCTGAGCAGTTTCAAGTATCCTCAGTAAAAAAACAAAACTTAAGTCTGACTACAAAATGCCTCGAATCTAACCCACTTACACAGCACTTAGTTCCCTGACGATAAGCATCTAGCACGGAAGGGACACATCAAGGCAACTCAGCTTGTCTTAGCACCCCGTGTACCACGTAGTCAATGCCCTGACGGAAGATTTATGGCAGATGCACGTGGAAAAATATCAAACAACGGGGAGTAATAAGTGACTAAATGCAGGAACACATCTGAACTGGCTTGTGACATAGGACTTCCCTTCAGGTCCGAGTCCTCTTTTGAAGACATGTACTAAATGGTGACAAACATCGCTATGGTATCTTAGTGGTTAGCACACTTGCTTGAGAAATGTTTAGGGCTTTCACTTCTGAGTAATATTCATGTAGTCTTTTTCTTCCACCCGATCTTTGTTGTGGCTGGAAATTAGTATCTTTAAGATAGCTGCTGTTCTATCAAATCTGTTGAAAAATTCAAATGCTATTGGAAGCAGTAAAAAAGACAATAAATGTGATTGCTTATTTCTTATTTACTAAAAAAAAAAAAATGCTAAAAATGTGTAAACTGCTCCTGGCACGCTGACTCTAACCCTGATCTCTCCCTTCTTAGGGGAGTTTCCTTATCAAGAGGCTGAAGTATCAGACTACCGTTACCTTACTCCATCTGGTTTAATAAACCTTTGCACTCATTCCCACAAGGAGAGCACGGGAGGCATGTTTTGTAAGTTTTAACAGTCCATAACTAAAATAAACTACAGCAATATACATAGCAAGCTTGTCTGATTCAAGAAGCACTCACTCCTTTCTTTTAGCAGGACTTTGTCATGGCTCTGCATCCGCAAATAAACTGAATATCCTCCATTCACGCAATATTTTGACCTCTCATTACCCATCCAGGGCACATGTGAGAGCACGGGTCCTACTCAACTCCATACAACTTGTACAAAGAGAGGCCCTACTCCTGTGACAAGAAAACAGTGTAAGCTGATCATAAAACAAGCGTGACAAAGTAACATCATTTCTATTGATTTGCTTTCAAAAGCAGGATGCAGCTGTGAAACTGTGATGCTTTTATATGCTGCACCTAGCAGCACAGCAGCTACCATTGCCTACTGAGGAAGCCAGCCACCACTTTTTCTTTCTAGCCACATGGTAACAGAAGGTGTCCTGAAAAAGTGAAAAGAGTCAGGGATGTAGGTGGAAGAGCCAGGGTTGTTGGCAAAGCCTACTGACAAAACCTGTGCTTTTAACTAGACAATCACATCACTTCATCTTGGAGGGGCTTCTAGCAGGAGTTGCAGTCAGGTGGGTTTCTATAAGGAACAAATAGCACTGTGTAATTTAGGAATATTTTGTTTGCTACCAACTGCACAGAGCAGGGCAGCTGATAAAATAAATGACAGTAGAAAACAAAGCAGCCTCTGACCTGAACATGGTATGCCTCCTCCCAATGCTTTAAGTGCTGAAATAAACTCTAAAAACCAGCACCACTTCACTCTACCCAACAACTTGCATGTCACCCTATTTAAATACTAGAATAAAATCCAAACTTTGAAGACTGCTGAAAAGTAGATGTAAGCCAGTAGTAGAAAGCTGTAACTTTAACAAATAATCCTCAGTCTCTACTATACCTCATTTTAGAGCCAAACAATGGAAGAAGTGATATATTTTAAGCTGTTGCCCTTTTATTTATGCCAGTTTTCCACCCATAAGACATACCTCTGGGTATTATTCTACAGCTATTAATACCGTTGCTTCTAACATCTTAAGCCTCGATAACTATAGGGATACTTTTGCTAATATAACAGTTGCAAAACAGTTGACTCCCAAGCGTCAGATTTAAGAGGCCTCTAATATTCAGGATGGTAGGGGGAAGGGCTGTAGGGTGGATCTGATGCACACAAGCTGTGCCAGCTTCTGTTGTGAGGTACCACAGCAGCTTTCACGCAGGACAGCTCAGAGCTCACACTGCTGTGCAGTGAGCTTTGTAACGTGACCCACACGTGGCTGCAAGACTTCTCAATCACTAGCAATAAATCAGTATTTGGTAAGAAATTAAATCACCCGAGAAGCCTTTCAGAAAAATAGGAAGGTATTTATTAGCTTTTTATCCAAAGAACAATCCACAGAAGGGAAAATTTACTCATGATTTCAGCCTTGGCATTTCAAAGTGAAACACAGTGCAGTATTACATACCCTAAATTAATCTTTAAATACACTGTTTGAAAAACATTACTATAGTAACAGGAAGCAATGACTTTGAGAACTTTTCAGCTTCCTTAAAGGACAGGCAGTTACCTCTTCTTTATGTGCATGCTCTTCAGATATGGCATAACAATTTTTACACACTGAGGGGGAGGAAAAAAAACCAACTCTCTTCTCAGTTGTGAAGACTCACTTTGGTAGGATAAGATCCCTTTCTACTGACAGTTACTGTCCTAATAAGTAGCAGATACTTGTTTTACCAGTTATCAGGCCTAGCATAAAGGACACAGCCAGCATAAAGATGAACCAATAACCAAATTGTATTTGATACAAAAGGGTCAGTACAACAAGTCAGCCAGATTACACATAACCAACATCAATCCCACTGACCCCTACAACAACACCACACGACCAACAATGGGTGGAATGACCAGTGAAATGCAGTCTCCCATAGAAGGGATGGGAGACAACTGAGTCAACAAGACAAACACATAAGACCAAGGAAGCCACACATTGACTCTCTGCACAGCCCGCGTTTACAAAAGCCAGACCTGACTGGAGCCCAGTCCCAGGGAGGCAGGAGGTCCTTCCCCAACAGGGAACTCTGCACAGGGCATCCCCCTCACAGACAGACACTGCCCCTGCCTGCAAGTGGTCCCAGCTTTTATCCCCTCAGTGGGACACCTGATCTTCATTTACTTAATGGGGGACACCTGGGGCTCATTTACCTAACGGCTCTCCCAAGGCCGTACCCTGGGGGGAAGGCAAACTTCACCCTTTGTGAAGGGCTGTGGGAATCACCCATATGTCAACTTTAATTTGGGGCTTGGGGTTGAAACCCCAGCAATTCAATGGTGAATATTTTTTTTTTTCTCTTCAGCATTGTTCATGCTAAAATCAGTCTTTAGTAGCATGCTGGAAAATCCAAGCACTGCTAGAGACTTAAAGAGTCAATGACTAATGAAAGAAAACTGATAGCCCTTAACAGCTGAGAACTTTTATGAGCAGAGTGCCCCACCTTCATCTTCAAATCCTCTTTTTGCACTTAAATTTGTACTGTGATTCTGACACTGTACTCACTGTAGGAATTTTTGGCCTCACATTGCTAATTTATCAATGTAATAGATGAAGTGACCTCAGAAAGCAAAACACACCTAATAACCAAAACCGTAACAACCGCTGAAAAGGAAATAACTCTGCAGGTGCTAGGGTTCTGACAGAGAACAGATGCCATATAACAAATGTGCTCATCCATAATAGCTCCAGTAAGATGCTGATACATCTCTGCCTGTAATCTGCTTCTCAGCCCCACATCTCAAGCACCTTAGAACAGCTACCGTGAATATGAATAAATTAAAGTGACTGCTAGTGCAGGAGTGGCAGGTAATGCAGTGTCTAGAGAAATGTGGCTTATGTGTGAGGTAAGGTAGAAGGGGTAGACCTGGTCATGAAACATGAACTAAACTACACTGGAAAGGCAGCTGAGCATCAGCCTGGCACCACAGGGTACGGGTTTGAATTTTAAACTCCTATGGCTGGTTTGACATGCCCGAATGCCAATGCCATCTTCCTGATTTTAAGACTGATAGGAAGGAAAAAACAGATATGCCTGCTTCCCTTAAGCTGAGGGTAGATCTATGTATCTGTGGTGTCTATATTAGATACGAGAAGGCAGAGGTGTAGGGAAATAATTGAAGTGTTAACAGCTTTGCTTTTTCTTCCTTATAAGCTACTATCGCTTCATGTCACTGAGCCAATTCTCATACATTTGTTTGGGGCTACAAGTGGAAAAAAATCATTATCCTTTGACTCCAGCTGTTAAGAATATAAGATTATGCTTTATTTCCATCTGCAATAAAGCAGGAGCATTAGCTCTTTTTGAACTATGGCCAGATGGATGCACAGTAAATTGCCCTCACAGTTCCTCCTGTTTCAAAATAAAAACATATTTCAATATCATTGCATTTTCAGAACTCTGTCATTTGAAGTGACCTGCTTTCCTCAAACTTGAGAAGCTTTAACATTATAAAGAGAAAGGGTTCTCTTTCTCTATTCCTCCCAGCCAAGAATGGCTTGTACATACTTACAGAAGCAGCTAAATTTCACCTTGAAACCTGAATTCTAATGTTTACAAAGCTTAGAAAACCAAACAAGAGATGAAGCCATCTTCTGACCACTGTTAAAAACAGAATTAGTGTGTCCTACAGTAATTCGTATGGTGAAAACTTCTGTACCAATACAGTACGTGCGTGTGTTCACCCTAAGGCTCTGTGTAACAACCTGACTAACAAAATGCACATGCCACATAGAAAAGAAAAAGCAATGTCCGAGTCGTTTGTTCAGTCTGATATTCTGATGCAGGTCTGATATTCTAAACTGCAGGCAGCTACTTTTTAGAAAGTTTTTCATACAGGGTGTTAAACATACACATGTGCAAACAGACACACACACAGAGTGTGTACTCCCTTTCATGTTCCAGATCTAAAACTTGCACAACAAAATTCAGATGGAACTTAACAAAATTATTTCTTAAAAATGTGGGATTTGGGATAGAAGTGGCAACCATGTTCTTCATGTATTAATGCCATGCCAGGAGAAGACACATCTTAAATAATCCAAACAATTATATACACTTGCCTCCAACTGTCCAGCTGCCTTCAACCACAGTCTCTTTTCCAGCCTGAAAGTCTCCTCTGGACATAAAATTGTTCCACACCCATGATCAACTTCCAGCATTTCTTGAGGATGAACCATAGACTTTAAAACCTTCCATGTGAAGTATTATAAAAACAATATACAGACCTGCAGTTGTACAGAATACTTACCACAATGACTGATCCAAAAGCAAAAATTAACAATCACAATGAAGTTACTTCCTCAGGTTGGCCAGGATGCAATTGCTTTGCTCTGTCTCTCACTAAAAGTTTCCAACACCTTGAGTGTTTAAGCCTTAGTCTTTAGCTCCTCAGTTGAGAAGAAAGTTATCAAATTCAGATTTCTTTATACTTTTACAGTGTTTCCTAGTGCCCATTCAGCAAGCTATTCAGAGGTGACAAAAAAAAAAAAAAAAAAAAAAAAAAAAAAATTGCCCCTGGTATATGCACCAGAATGCCACCACCAAAATTTAAGGGGAACTCAACTTTTCTACAGTGGTTTTAACCACTGAAAAATTGCTGGACACATCTTCCCTGCAAGGGGATGATTGATTTATTTTTAAAACTGTATCTGATCAAAACGAATAAACCAACGTGTTGATGTATGAAAAACTGTTGACTAAATAGGGTGCCCCTATTTTGAAACTATTCTTAAAAACATAATGAAGGCAACATAGCAGAGGAGAGCTGCCACGGGTAGTGTGGTATCACTGCCACTGACGACCAGCTGCTGCATAAAAATGTCTTTGCTCTTAAGGGAGTAACAGGCAGTGAACATAACTTCTGGTCATGGTAGATTTTGCAAGGAGAGGGTAAACCAAGCTTTTCTCTGCTTGGAAGTTATGTGTAACAGATTCCCCTAAGAGGTTACCAGCTTGGAGGATGGGATTTTTTTTTCTAATAATGAATGTGAAAAAATTGTATCCAATTACATAATTTCATTCTAGGAGAAAGGCTAATTGGACACTTACAGCTTTCTTCACTTCTGTTTTCATACACAAGCAGGGGCTCTATCACTTTCAATTCCTCTGTATAATTCTTTTCTTGAAAACAGGACTGGAATTTGACCAGACAGGGAATAAATCAGAAATTACAAAACAGTATGAAATTCTGTTAAGATGGTCCTTCTGCTGTGGTGATGCTGTTATTGAGGGCTGTTAAGTGAAGGAAGGTACATGCTGAAAAACACAAGACATGATTTATTGAGATAGTTTATTTTATTGGTTTACAGGTCACACCAACCTCTTTATTAAAAAAGCTCTTTATCAACTTAAAAAAATTGCCAGAGCCAATGTATAATATACATTATTTGGAAACTTCTCAATTCTTCTAAGTATCAGTCTCTCTTTATTCCCCTCTCCTGTTTGAAGTTGCCAGTCAGAGAGGGATTG